CTAAGAAATAAGTCACCTGGCAGTTCTCTCCCAAGTGGTTCCACTGCTGCCAGCATTACGTCTGAGTATGATTCAGTGGGCTATATAACACTTTTAATTGTCAGGAAATTACTTGTCTTTAAAAGTTCTGGTTCAATATACGTACCTGTTGATCAAAAATAGCCTTAAACCTATACACTTTTTATTTTTTTATTTTTTTGTAACTTTCAGGAGGGTGTACTCATTTTTGCAACACAACATTTTATCACTTTGTTAAGAAAATCTTATTTTGCTGAATAATTTTGGCATTCTTCTTTGGTAATTGATCAAGCAGGCTTGTTGGAACATTACATCTCCAAAGAACCCTAACATGTCTTCAAAGTAAAAAGTAATTGCTGAATTTGTTAAGTTTTAGAGGGGGTGTACTCATTTATGCTGTGCACTGTATATACACACAATTTTATGTAAAGATATTTTAATGTTTGTATCTTGAAAAATCAAGCCTCATGCACTCAATGAGAATACTGCACTAGAAAGCCTGAATGTTGTTTTGCTTTTTACACACGGACTTGCACTCTCATACCTGGACTGCAAGTAAGGCCAGGACGGTCACTGCACAACGCATGCGGTGCAGCACTGCTCTTGCTTCTCGGGCAAAGTGGTGTAGTTCATCTGCCTCACAATCTCAGCGAACAGCTCATCGACCATGCTCTTGCTCTTGGCCGAGGTCTCTATGAAGGGGCAGCCCCACTCTTGTGCGAGCGCTCGTCCGTCAGAGCCCGCCACCTCCCGCTCGGACTCCAGGTCCACCTTATTCCCCACCAAGATCAGAGGCACCTTCTCAAAGCGCTTCACACGAACGATCTGGTCCCGCATTGGTCTGATGTCCTGCGGAGCAATGTCAGAGATAAGATAATGTATAATTTATAAGCAAGATAAAACAGTTTAGGACCCCAAATAAGTCAGTTTATGGAGAAATTAACATTCCTAAAGTTGCAATGAAATGGAAGAGGTGACAGATATTTTCTTCCGTATTGTGACATGCATCCAAGTGAAACGGATTAACGGAAATGAAAAACGTTGGGCAGGGCCTTGTTTCTGTGCTGTACTCCTCCTCTAGCAACACCAGAACATTTTGGATGCTGTTAGATCTGAAATGATTGAATTTGTCTTATGAGACCAGAGTATGGATTCCTAGAAAACTATATTTTGTAAATATGGGCCTTGGAAAAAGCTAAATGAGTTTATGGTGCTTTGGCTACAGTCGGTAGGTTCTGGTGTGGATAAACAACCATGCATGTCACTTCTGCATGCTGCATTTTACTCTGTGAGATAAAGTGTCACTCTTTTCACAGCTTTTACCGGCTCTGAGACACTTTCACAGTGTTTCTCCTGCTCTTTTTTTAGTAAAAATTCACTCATCACTAAATGAAAACTTAAAGTGAAGACCTGATTATTTCAGGAGCCTTATCACAAGTCCATAGTTTTTGAATGTTGGTGCTACTTCTGCTATATTTTCACACTTAAAACAATAATTTGGTATTCCTCTTGTACCATTGTCCTCTTTTATGCTAAGAAATAAGTCACCTGGCAGTTCTCTCTCAAGTGGTTCCACTGCTGCCAGCATTAAGTCCGAGTATGATTCAGTGGGCTATATAACACTTTTAATTGTCAGGAAATTACTTGTCTTTAAAAGTTCTGGTTCAATATACGTACCTGTTGATCAAAAATAGCCTTAAACCTATACACTTTTTATTTTTTTATTTTTTTGTAACTTTCAGGAGGGTGTACTCATTTTTGCAACACAACATTTTATCACTTTGTTAAGAAAATCTTATTTTGCTGAATAATTTTGGCATTCTTCTTTGGTAATTGATCAAGCAGGCTTGTTGGATCATTACATCTCCAAAGAACCCTAACATGTCTTCTAAGTAAAGAGTAATTGCTGAATTTGTTAAGTTTTAGAGGGGGTGTACTCATTTATGCTGTGCACTGTATAAGTTTTATAAATGGTTTTAAGTTAAATAAATATTTCATAATATTAATATTAAAGAGTCTGTTTGTTTTTGTGAGTGTGTGTGTATACACACCTAGATAATCCAGTCAACCTCACTAGTCAACTATTGTGATTCATTCCTAGTATTTAGACAATTTGATGCATGCATTTCGGGCCTTTCAGGTTTCAGGGACAATACATGCTTTCTCATTAGACTGTAGGTGTTGGGTGACAGCAGACCCAGGTTGATGTGCATGAATGGCTTCTTTCACGTTGGTAAGAGCTCTTGTTACCCACCTGTGTGGAATTATACCCTTGATCTGTCATTAGAAAAGAAATTCCTCCTCACGGGTGACTGAAGCAGTATGAGGAGCGCCATTTGACAGTCCGCGTGTATACTATCAAAGCTTTCCATCAACTTCCCACTCCACATGCAGGGTGGGGACAACAGAGGAGCACATAGAGCGCTCTGTCCGCTCTCTCTGTGTGCTGTGCATGAAGGTGAAAGATTGGGTGTGGGTTTGGATGAATGAGGGAGAGATAAAGGAAGTTAGGAGGGTTCAAAGGAAAGAGGAAGGGTGCCGTCTCGAGTGAATGGTTTCTGTGAGGGCAAACATATTTGACTGTGAGCTGGTGATTAGTCAGCACTTTGATTTCACTTTTCAATGTGTGCACACTCTCTCCTATGCGCAGAAACACACACAATGCTATGTTGTGAAGGCTGAGGGTGTTGAATACTAAGCAAAGTGTAGGTGAGATGTGAGAGATGGAGCGGAAGCAAACTTTGCTAGCTCTATTTAAAACCCAGCAGGGAGGAACAATCACACTGGGCTCCAAGGGCAGGCCAAAGAAGAGTCCTTAATCCGTAATTTCCCTTTGATTTCTGCCACATCCAGAGCACATTCACCTTTGAACATAATACAGCAGTGCAGCTCTGACATTTCATTAATTCCGTACTCTCATATGAAACGTCATAGTGGTGTGACATGGCTGCATATGAGCTGCGGCCAAGAGGTTTTTATTAATTTCCTGCTGCACCAGTCAGCTTCCTCTCCTTGAGCTTTGACTCAAACGAATAATCATGTTATGGAGGATAAGGTGGATAGCTGCTTCTAGAGACTGTATCTATTATATTATGGAGTGTTGAATGTCAAGTCAAGTCATATTTATTTGTATAGCGCTCTTCACAAAACGCATCGTTTCGAAGTATCTTTACAAAGTCATACTGGTATGTTTACAATGCCCTAATGTTTTAATACAGAGCAAATTGTAGAGCTGGGCGATATAATGATTATATAACAATGATATAAATCCTCTGGATTTAAATCTAGCTAAGACATTTAGCAGATTTAGCTATCTGTATGACATATTTCAAGTGTATTTCAAAAACAACCCAACATATTTAGCATACAATAGCTTATTTTTGTATCTCTTTTTGTGAAAAAGTAACCACCAGTCTTTATAATTTCTCCTTTTGTGTTCCTCAGAAGAAAGAGAGCCTTCCTTTAGCTGTTTTCAGAGCATAGAGCTGTCGCAGAAACATGTCACAATGACTCTCATGTTATCTGTCAACTAGTAGCAACAGTTTGACTAATAATACTCTAAATGTAAATCTATTGTTTACTGTTTTATATTGACACCCTATATTATAGCACCAGACACATTGCTTGTTGTTTAGCAAGTTGTTTTGGACCAAATTCTAAAGAAACTTTCTTTAGGTCAAATGCAAATAAGGCATGTAAGATTGCATCAGTGATGTGAGAGACAAATTCTGCTTTGCCTTTGTTGCGAATCAAATCCATGCAAACAAAACGGACAAAAAACGAATAGCAGGCTTTTCAAAATGTAATGACTGGGGGTATAATTACTTTAAAATCATTCTGCTTCTGTACAAAGTTGCTGCTCTTTTGCCGCTATTTTTCTTTACAGATGAAAAGAGACAAAGAGGACGCTTCTGAAGTCTCGCCGGTCTTGCCTTTGGATAAGTGTTTATTAATGTCTTAATCAACATTGTTGGTGGCTCTGGCATGAAAGCAGTGTGATAATTAAGTTTGATCCCTCGGAACTCTCTTTTGTGCGCATGTTCATGGGCCTTAGCCTCTCGCCTCTGCTTTACAAAACTAATTTACTCTGATCAGCCAACTGATTGTTTGACGGGATCTAAAGGGACCGACCGGCTGGGCCAGATCAATAATCTTAAAGAAGGCGATTCCTAATCTAGGACGAAACAAATGTGGATGGGCTGGGTTCTTACCGAGGCTTCCAGCGACAGCAAAATACTGAGCAGTGGTGGTGTGGGTGGGATAAAGGTACTTTTGTTTTTCGCCATTTACACATATGTACCTTACAATGGTCCTTATAGTACTGCAAAAGCTGCATATTTTCAAAAACAACTACTTGACTAATTGGTCTTAGGGAAGTACTGAATAATTAGACTGGTTTTGGGTTCACTTGTCCCTGATTCAGTCTTCCAAATGTTTTCCAATGAACAAAGAACTAAAGAAAAAAATGGGTTGTGAAAATACAACATGACCTGGGATCATGACTCATGACAACTCCTCACAGCTTAATTTTCATGAAATTAATTATGTCGTCTACCCTGACTTAGGTCTATTTATTGATGAAGTATTTTACTTTCAACAACCTAATTAGAGACAGCAGCGCAGTCAGTGCTGACAGTTTTGATGATGTGTAGATGATGAGATGATGATGTCTTGGAGCACTGTTACGAATGTGGGTTTGAGGTTACAAACATCTTCCGTGAGCAGAGCATACAGCAAACAACCCAAACCACAAGCTTTACTTAGAAAACCTCAAATATGTTTTTACAGCTTTCCTTTCCCACTTCTTCTGATGTGGCAAACCCATGTTCCCATGTCTACAGAGATGCTTGGTCACAATTTAGGACGTAGTTTTGGATGATGGTATCCATTTATGGAGGATTTTTGCTGTTGCAGTCACTACATATTGCCGTTTTAGACCTCTCTTGCTTTATGGATGGTGGGGTGTAGGGCTGGACCTGGATATTTATTTTTGACTATTTTTAAGCCTTGTGTCAATATTTCATGTATTTTTGAAAATCTTTGCAAATTACTTTTGCATTTTTTTATCAGAAGATCATTTCAACCAAATAATCATTGTAGTCAAGTATATATTTATGTAAAAACTACAAAAATATTTAGTTAAATATAATGAAGGCATATTTTTCAATAAATTTGTTTTTTAAATTATTATTCACTTAAGAATATTTAATCATTTTCATTTACGCTGCTGTTTTGGAAAGTCATATTTATATTCATGTTTAAAGATTAGAGTTTTTTTTAAGAAAGTACACATTAAATTGATCAAAAGTGACAGTAAAGATTGAACTTTCAGAGGAATAAATTACATTTTAAAATATATACAAAGCTACTGTATATACAAATAGAAAAGTAATTTTAAATTGCAGTAATATTTCAAAATATTAATGATTTACTGTATTTTTATCAAATAAATGCAACCTTGTTAAGCATAAGAGACTTTCAAAAACATTTCAAAAATCTTACCGACCCCAAACCTTTGAACGGTAGTGTATGTAATTACTCACAAGTCAAGGAAGCATCATGAAACTAGTCTAAAGACAGCCTTGGGTCTCAAGATTTAAGGAAAATTGTTGGTTTGATCTTCAATCGGGAATCGTGATCCATCACTATTGTGTGCTTAACCTTAGGTTGCACCAGCATAATTGTCTCTGCAATAATGCTGCATTCATGTTGTGTTAAAATGTGCATAATTACGAGCTGACAACCTGAGATTCTTCTCTGACCACATCCTCAAATAATTTGTTTCTATGGCAACCCTCATAACCAAATGATTCCATATGTGGTTGTGTTGATAACAGCAAAATATTTAATCACTACATTAGTCCACCTTTATATGCTTTTGAAAAATAAGAACAAAGAAAGCACAGCAGGTAGCACTGACTTTAATAAAATAGAATATCAAACAGAAATATATATATATATAGATGTAACTTACTACATTTAATTGTAGAAGTTTTCATAAAATTCAGTTTCCATTTTGTAAGTGTGACTTTGATTGTTTTTTTTTTTTTCAGTCTTAATTACTGTGCCTTGTTATGGTGACATCATCAAATTCCATGGTCACGTGGTGATAAATATATTTCCTAAAGGCTCTTTGTCCTTACCTGTGGCTAAGCCTTATAGCCAGCCTACAAGAAATTCTCATTTCAGGGGCCCCGTCTGACCAAAACAATTTACAGCTCCTTTTGCCGCCAGCTTGTCAACAGGGTGCTAAAAAACACCGGGTTTGAGAGCTCGCAGCTTGTTTGAGCACACTGCCCAGCACTTGAGCTACTAGAGGAGCTGCAGAGAGAGGAAAGGCAGGGAAAGAAAGTAATCAGAAGGTGAGAGCATTTATTACCACTGGCTTTTAACTGACTCTCCACTGGCAGAGTCCCAAAATTGAAGCCATTTTTCTCATGCGCTTTCTCCCATTCTTGATTAAGACAGGCAATATGTCTCAAACCCCGCTGTCCTGAACTTCTGACAAATAGTATCTTTTCTTCTTCTCCCGAGATGAAGCCATTAAAGCATCTGACCATCTTATCTCTGTCTGTGCTAAGCTGTCAGCGATTGGTGTGTGTGGAAATCTCTCAAGCTGAAATTAATGGGATCTGTTTGGCTCTGGCGGTTTCCTAAAAAAACAAAATATTAAAGGGGGGGGCGGGGTCATATGGATTTTTTTAAATTTTGAATTTAATTTAATTTTTTTGTACTATTTCAATGGAAAACATTAATAGTACTGTATGTAACATGCAGAGAATTTAATTGATAAATATAGTGTTTATATACAAAAGTGGGTGTGATAAAACTTGGTTAGCTAGAAAACCCGAAGCTGTTTTCTTGATTCTGAGCACAGTGCATACATAAAAAAATGAAACCTCGACCCTTGTTTACAACGAAAAGGTCATAAATTGCTATTAAAAGGATGGCAATAACTATTTGCCTTTGTTCATCTTTTTTAAAGGCCTATAAAATAGACTGTATTTTTTACAGCCCTCCCAATGACTTTAAAACCTCTATTAAACCAACAAGGAGAAAGAAAGATTGATCGTCTTCTGTCCACTGCCTTGCCACGTTGTTTTATGTGTTACTTTATTTTTTGCACTATTCAAAATTTTACAAGCAATGTCTTGTGGCTTTGCTGCTGAAGCAGTGCGCTGTAAGGAAACCATGTTAAATTATACAGCAGTATGATTTGTGTCGGTTCGTGTTGCTTTTGTTTTAGCACTTCTTCCATGCACAGGAACCTTGAATTCAGGTGCAATTCTTTGAATTGGCCCTCAAGTGCACTAACTTATTTTTTTCCAGCAGTCTATTTTTAAAAAAGGTGAGCTGTGTGACTGGTTGCAAGGCTAGACTTCAGTTTTTCTGCCGTGCTTGTCCTTTTCCTTGGGAGACGGTGGTCGGCCTGTGAAAATTTCTCTCTACGG